GATGGTGTCGATCTCCGCAGCGTTTCAAGGGAAACGCTGCGCTCTCGTATCAGCATTGTGCCTCAAGACCCATTCTTGCTTGCCGCTACAGTCAGGGAAAATATGAGTCCAGATGGAAGCGCAACCGATCAAGGAATATGTGACATGCTCGAATCAGTACACCTAAAAGAAAAGATTGCCAACATGTCTTCATCGGATGACACGACCTCTCTGGGCCTGGATGCTCAGATTGATCCCGAGAGAGACGGCTTGAGTCGCGGAGAGAAGCAGCTGCTGTGCTTTGCGCGAGCGGTTCTTCAAAAGCGAAAAATTCTGGTGCTGGATGAAGCTACCTCGAGCATTGATCACGAATCTGACGCACGCTTGCAGCACCTTATACGCACTGCTTGCGCAGATCGGACAGTCATTACCATTGCCCACAGAATCTCCACCATCGCCGACTACGACTCGGTGATCGTGATGGAAGGCGGCAAGTTGTTGGAAGTAGGCAATCCCGCCGCTCTTCTGCGCACATCAAGCTCCGTTTTTGCAGCTCTTGCCCAGACAGGAGAGCTTGAGCTTGAGCGAGAAAAGAAGGCGGATCAGAAGAAGCCCATCGGAAGACGAGAGGAGGACATGCACAGCATCGACACGGAACTTGGCCAAGCAGACGAGAAGACTTTTTGAGCTCTGCGCCTCCTTGATCCACGACACTATGCCTGTCCATTGATGGTGTCACATACAAAATCGAATCGAACTGAGAGACAGTTTGCGTAATGTCTTCAATCTTGGTGAGGCATTCGGTCAGTGCTTGCAAGCCAGGATCACCTCAAGGCAGCCAACTGTGTTGCGGGCTCGTGCCTGCCATGTGTTTCGCCATTTGACGCTGAGACTGGAGAGGTGCAACGCTCTTACAAGAGTCTCGTAGGTGGACCAGATGGTCGAGGTAACGAGCAAGATTGAAGGAAATAGGCCAAAGTCTAAATGCAGATGGCAAAGTGAATGACAGTGTCGTCGATTTTATGCTGCGACGTATGCTTCACTGCACGTGAGTCGCGTACGTTGGCTGCA